CTACAGACATGTTAGTCTGGGTGACAACTTGCATTTTTACCTCAAACTAATGCATCGCCTCTCAGCAAACAAAACAGTAAGATACTCACTCAACCTCATGGGTGATTTTGTTCACATAGATGCAGCTGTTATCGGCTTCTTGTTGATAGTCACAATTTCTGCACTGAAAACATACATGAACACAAAGAAGGGATTGTTCTGTCCAATAATACAAATCAAGTTATATAGAACACTGTTAAATCCCTTTTAACAACTATCAGCTTAATGCTCGACTGTAATCATAACAAGTCATATGCATGTCAGATCACATCTGTTAATTAGATCTACTAACTGTAATCATAAGTCAATGCATGAATCAATGCATAAACACGCTATAAACATTGATTTAACTCTCTCACATGGTCTAAGAGGACAGCTCATGCGCATAGATTTGGCAAAAATAACTTACAGCATAGAGCAAGATGCGGTTTTCTTTATCCTCTTTAGGATACAGCATGTTATTACTGTAAAAACAGAAAGATTCATATGAGACCGGCTACTGCCTTCAAAACAAACACACACCTCAGATCAGCGATGCGAGTTTGAGCCACTATCCAGCAAACTCATCTACACTCACCACTCCTGACAGAACCGGATGCCCACAAAACCAGGTTCGTAGGTGCCACCTTCCAGATCCATTATAAAGATACCGTAGCTGTATGGTAAAGGCTGTAGAGCTATAAAGGTAAGGGATAAAGGATAACAGTCCTCTTCCACTCTGTCGAAATGTCTAAGAACAGTAGTTTGTGCGCATGCGTGAACTCCGGTTAGCGCTGCTCAGATAAATCACAGCGTCTCGTCGTGGCGGAGGACAAAACAATGATTTTTCAGCGGAAAGAGACGGCGTGTAATGTTTTCAAGTTAAATTTATTCTAGATTATTTATACATATTGCTACTATTTTATTGGCATTGCATTAAGCGACTTAACGCTTGTGCTGTGTTGAAAACCCTATAACACCTTTGGTTTGGTGGCCTTTTAAAAATCTTTGTAAATTGTCAATTTGTTTTCTTTCAGTTAGAACAGTTTAAAAAAAATTTTTTTAATTTAATTTAGTTTTATTTAATATTATTATTGTTGTTGTTAATTAATTAATATATTTATTTATTTATTATTATTATTTTTTGTTTGTTTTTTATT